TACAAAACGCTGTTTGTTTGTGATTTCCGCTTATGCTCCCACCGACTGCAGTTCAGTTGCCCTCAAGGACACATTCTATCACGAACTGAACGCGCTATTGCGCAGTGCTATTAGTTCAGATATTATAGTACTTGCAGGTGATATGAACGCACAAATAGGACGTCTGAGCTCTTCATGAGCTCAGCTGGGTGGTAATTATGGGCTTAACTTCGAACGGACTGGCAACGGTGAGCGTTTGCTGCAACTTTGTGCGGAGCACCAGTTGTTTCTTAGTAACACTGCTTTTAGACACAGTGGGCGCCGAAGTGCCACTTGGTGTCCCCCTGTAGCTGGCCAGCGATGGACCCAAATTGACCACATAGTCATAAGTTACGAATAGCGTGGTTCCATCCTGGATTACCGCTCGTACTGGAGTACCTGTGTGGACTCTTATCATGCCTTGGTACGCTGTCGTTTCTCCATGAACTTTACCGGGAGGCGCACCAAGTGTTCCCTACGATTGGTAACGGAGAAATTGTCTCAGTCCTCGGTCAGACAAGCCTATCAAGAGGCGCTGCGTATCGAACTTCCGCAGTCTTGTCCTAATGACACTGAACTTCAGTGGAATAGGATGTCGGCCGCCATGCACGACGCAGGAGCATCTGCTTTTGGCACTATCCATCGTCACCGCACCAGTCACTGGATATCCGAGAGGTCGATGAACCTGTTGGAATCTAGAAGAAACCTCCCGGCTGGCTCTAAACACAATGTGATCAGACGGGCTATCAGGCGTGAACTAAAGCAGCGCTTACGTGCTGACAAGGAAGCCTGATGGACAAGTAGGGCTCAAGAAATGGAGGAGGCAGGAGCAGTAGGCAATTACCGGAAGCTCTTCCAGCTAATACGCACCACTGGTCCGAGAAAACCAGGCGTCAGTGAGACAGTCAGAGACGCGCGGGTGCGCTGGTATACAATAAGGAGCACCGTATTGCTCGTTGGGCGGAACACTTTCAAAATCAGTTCAGCTGGCCCCCTGCTTCCGGACCTCTTCCTACTCAGGTGATGCAGGACGAACCATGGACGGTTAGTTTAGAGCCTCCGTCAGAGGCCGAGGTCCGAAACGCAATCACGGCCCTTAATCGTTTTCGTGCGGCTGTCCCGGATTCCCTCCCACCTGCACTATTTAAGGATGGAGGTGAGGTCCTCTGCAAAGCACTGACCTCCTTATTCGATCGTATCTAGAAGGAAGATTGTCCCGGCCAGTTGGAGCGAATCAATTATAGTGGCAATATATAAGAATGACAGTCGCACAGACTGTTCTAACCACAGGGGGTATTAGCCTAACGCCAGTTGTGACAAAATTGTTGGCCTCGATTATCGTTCGTCGCCTCACTGCGGAACGGGAATTTCGGATTAGGGAAGAGCAGGCAGGTTTCCGCCCAGGGCGTGGCTGTGTAGACCATATATCCACTTTGCGGCAGGTGCTAGAACAGCGTCACGCATACCACAGACCGACAATTACTGTGTTCCTTGATTTCAAGAGTGCGTTCGATTCAGTCGATCGATCGATTCTGTTCGAAATACTTTCGCGGAAAGGTGTTCCCGCGAATTACGTGCGCATCCTACGTGTTGTATACTCGAACACTACAGGCCGCGTCAGAGTCTACGGTGGCCTATCGGATAGCTTTCCTACCACAAGTGGCATTCGTCAGGGTTGTCCAATTTCCCCATTTTTGTTCAATTTCGTTGTGGATTCCATCATGGAGTGTTCCCTTGCGGAATCTCACGATGTAGGCGTTGAAGTGCTGTCTGGTGAAAGATTGCTTGATCTTGATTATGCGGAGGATATCGTCTTGCTTTTTGACGATGTTGGGGCGGCACAATCAACCCTGGATAGCCTGTTTGGGGTGGTCCCATTATTTGATATGCGCTTCGCACCTTCAAAGTGTGATGTCGGATGACACCAGCGTGTCCGCAACGATGATGTGCGTAGTCGAGTACTAGGTAGTGATAAGCATGCTGTCTCCCTAGAATAACAGAAAGCACTGAATAAGTTGCGTTAGCTCGGGCACGTGCTACGTATGTCTGGTCACCGCTTACCTAGGAGGGCCTTGTTTAGTCTGCCAGGTGTAGGGTTGCGCAACGGTCGCGATGGACAGAAGTTGACTTGTCAACGGGAAAGGAAGACACTGACGACCAAACTGGGTGCGGTTGGTCCGTCTCGCATTCCGGGCTGGAGTCCACATGACTCGCCTTGTGCTTGGCTCGAGACTTTACAGGGCATGGCTTGCAACCGACACTAGTGACGCGTCTGCTGCCATCTCCTAATTGGATTGTCTGTTTGGTATTTGGTGCTGAGTTATGTGCAGGGTAATGGCTGATTATGACGCGGGGTAGTGAAAGCCGCAAGGAAGCTGTCTCGCTGATGCCGCCTTATCTTTGCATGATAGCCAGCTGTTTGCGACGGTATGTTTTTACACATTGTGTATCCGCCTTGACCCTGATTGTTTGCTTAGGGCGTTAAGATTCTTAGATAAGTCCCTCTTCTCTCCCTCTGATTATTCTTTATTCCATAGGTCGTCATGGTTGTATGGCAGCGAAGCATCAGTTCAAATGGCTGATGTACTGCTGTTGATGATGATGATGGATTATCGCTCGTTCTGGAGTACTTGCATCTTATCATGTTTTTGTACGCGGTCACTTTTCCATGAACTTTACCGAGAGGCGCACCTAGTGTCTCCCCCGATTTGCTACTGAACAATTGTCTCAACTTTCGGTCACGCAAGCCTATCAAGACGTACTACGTACCGAACTTTCGCTGTCTTGTCCTAATGACACTGAGCTTCAGTGGGATAGGATCTTGGCCACCATGCACGACGCAGGAGTATCACAGCTGGACTCTAACCGCAAGTACGTATTTCAACTAGTAGTGAATAAGCAAGAAGACGCGTCAGTCTGGCACGTAGTATACTGAACACTTAACGGTTTACATGTGAACACGGAAAGTTAGGGTGTGTCCTTGAGTGCGTGTGTGCGTGCTTATCTACGTGTGTGTGTAGGGCCAATCACGTTTACGGTCATAGTGAGCGATCATTGGTTGAACACGTAACAGTCCTCCCTGTTTTGGCTGACGTTACAGTCATGGCTGGAAACGTTCGATCGGTTTGCGAATCCGGGTCGATCGGCGTAATTGAGTTTCCCCTGTTGTTCTGTGTTCATCGTGCTCTGCAGCTTGCTCTGCGATCTCCGAGTGTGACTGACTCACGGCAGGTGTGTCAGTGCTCCTGGGGCGTACATGATCTGAGTGCCGGCGAACAACCCGGCCGTCCGGAAGCTGCAAATCGTTTTGACTTCCTGAAGAATCGAGCACAGTCGCCGGCTGCCAACATTGTTCATGCGGTAACCTGGTGTAAACAGGTTGATGGTCCTGAAATGTAACTTCCGGTTTTGATTCCTCTGAAGACACAAACTTTTTCTGACGCTCCTGTACTTCAACACGCGGGTTCGGAAACAACAAATGAAGCCTCGTTCTCAGATTTCTGCCGAACATCAATTCCGCCGGGGATTTCCCGGTAGCCTCAGTGGGTGTAGAACGGTAGGAGAATAAGAACCGATCCAGTTTTGTTCGCAATGTTCCCGTTCGCTGCTTTAGTAAGCCATGTTTCACAGTTTGTACTGCACGCTCCGCTAATCCGTTTGATGCTGGGTGATACGGGGCTGATTTAACGTGTTGGATTCCGTTGTTGGCGACAAATTTACCAAATTCGGCACTCGTAAAAGGCGAACCATTGTCTGTACAAATGGTTTCCGGAATGCCAAACGTAGCGAAGGACGAGCGCATTTTAGTGATGGTGGATTCGGCTGTCGCCTGAGTAACTGGATGTACGTCAATCCACTTAGAATGTGCATCAATAAGTAGAAGAAACATGGTCCCGTCGATCGGTCCGAAGTAGTCGGCGTGGATACGCTGCCAGGGCTTGTCGGGCCAACGCTAAGGGTGTATTGGACCTGGCGCCTTGCTCCGCTGATACGCCTGACAAATATCGCAATTCTTCAGTAAGTTCTCTATGTCTGAGTCGATGTTGGGCCACCAGCAGTACCCTCTCGCTAGTGCCTTCATTCTCGCCACACCTGGATGAGCATCATGGAGCTCTTTAAGTATCTGTGAACGCGCCTTGGTGGGAGGGACTAGACGAGAGCCCCAAAAAACACAGCCGTCGAATAGACTCAGTTCGTTCTTCCGAATCATAAACGGTTGTAATTCAACTGTCCCTTCAGGAGGCCAACCCATGTTCAAAAAGCGTTTCACCATTGATAGTACGGGGTCTCGATCCGTCCATTGACGGATTGTTGAACTCCGTATCGGTGTTGTGTCTAGATGTTGCATTAGATTAACCAGTTCAAACGGAGGGTCGTGTTCGTGTGCAGTTTCCGTGATCGGCAGACGGCTGAGTGCATCTGCTGTGCAGTTGCTGACGCCGGTAATATAAACAATCTTGTAACTGTAAGCACTCAAGGTTATAGCCCATCTTTGCATCCTCGGTGATGCCATTTGTTGTATACCTTTGTTTTCCCCAAACAAGGATATCAATGGTTTGTGGTCTGTATGAAGCTCGAAAACGTTTCCCCATAAATACTGGTGAAACCTCTTAACTCCGAAGATAACGGCTAGCGCTTCCCTGTCCAGTTGTGAGTAGTTCTTCTCCGCCGTCTGTAAGGTGCGCGATGCATATGCTATGGGACGTAAAGAACCATCGTCCATGCGGTGGCACAGGACAGCCCCGACCCCCCAAGGGGACGCGTCGCACTGAAGTATGAGTGGCTTGTTAGAGTCATAATGGACTAACGTTGGTGGCGAAGCAAGAGCTTGTTTTGCTTTATTGAAGGCATTTTTTTGACGGGAACCCCAACACCACGATGCATTTTTGTGTAACAGCTCATTTAATGGCGATAGAACCGTCGATGCATTAGGCAGGAAACGGCGATAGTGAGATAGCATTCCTAAGAACGAACGGAGTTCATCACAACTCTTTGGCTCTGGGCTTTCTAAAATAGGTTTAACCTTGTCATTTAAAACATGTAAACCGTGTTTATCAAGCCGGTATCCAAGGTAACAAACGGACGGTGAAAGGAACTCACATTTAGACCTTTTCAATCTTAATCCACTTCGCTCCAAACGCTCGAGCACGACCGCGAGTGTTCGAAGATGCTCTGTATCCGAGCGTCCAGAGATAAGAATATCATCCAGATAAGCACACGCAAAAGGAATGTCCTTCACTAGGTCGTCAATAATTCTCTGAAATATTCCGCGGGCGGAATTAATGCCAAAAGGTAAACGAGTATATTGAAATAGTCCCATGTGCGTGGTGATGGTAGTAAGTTTCCTCGAAGGTTCATCGAGCTCTATCTGCGAGTATGCATGACTCAGATCGAGTTTGGTAAACTTTTCACCACCAGCTAGTGTTGCATACAAGTCATCAATACGTGGCAAGGGGTACCTGACCAGCATGGATGCTTGATTTATGGTTATCTTGTAGTCACCGCAAATCCGTACGGAGCCGTCCGGTTTGGTTACTGGCACAATTGGAGTTCCCCAGTCGGAAAAGTGTACAGGAGTAATAATACCTTGAGTCTGTAGGCGGTTTAGTTCCTCTTCAACTTTAGGCCTCATAGCGTATGGTAGTGTGCGCGCCTTAATGAATTTTGGTCGAGCGTCTTCCTTTAGTTTTATCACAGCCTGAAATTCTTTCAACTTCCCAAGCTCCTCGGAAAAGACAGCTGAATGTTGTTTAAGTAATGTTTCAAGTCCGGAGATCTCGGTGACTAATTTTACCACATTCATTGTATCCGGGAAAGCACGTATCCAGTCTCTTCCAAGCAGATTTGGACGATCCCCGGGGATCACATATACAGGAAGTGTGCGTATTTTGTCGCCATACTGTGCCTTCACGAAGCATTTACCAAGGACACGTATAGGTTCACCGGTGTATGTACGAAGAACAGAATTGCAAGCGGATAAGTTCGGGAGCGTTTTTACAGCGTTTTCCCGGATTATCGTCACGGATGCTCCTGTATCTATTTCCATCTGTACCTTTTGTCCTTCAATGTAAAGCTCTAGAGTGTATGGCGCCGGCTGCATGCTAGAAACGGAATTAAGCCAAATGGAATGTAATTCAGGGTCGCTACCATCAGACTCGTCCACAGTTTTGATGGGGTTTGCTCCTCGATAAGCCCCACCTGAACGTCGCTTGACCGATCTACACACTCGCGCCAGGTGGCCCACCTTCCCGCAGCTTCGACATACTGTCTTCTGATGCCGACAGTCGGATGGACAACTGTGCTGCTCACCACAGCGATAGCACACAAACAAATTGACGCCAGTGGGTGGCTTTGGTTTTGGTGTAGTGTTAATCAATCGCAGCTCATCTGACGAGTTCTTCAGCGTAAATGTTGCGAGTTGTTGTGTAAGGTGTTCCCTCTGCCGGGCAATCGAGCAGGCCGTCTCCCAGGTCAGTGAACAATCATCTTGTGAAAGGAGCTTCTCCCGCGTGCTTTGGTCTGAGATTCCGGCTATCAAACATTGGAGTAACATGGTCTCTTCAAATCTCGTTGAATCGACTTCATTGTATTTACAATCAGGTGCTGCTTGTAGTACACGAGCGATGAACTCGTTCACACTCTCCTCTGGTTTCTGACAGAGTTTTGAGAAGTAGTATCTAGCCGTAAAAACATTCTGACGAGCACCCCAAAGAGCACTGAAGGTCTCCAAAGCGCCGGTTATCGTAGAAGAGATTTGATCAATGCGAAGTGCATCGAAATACCTTTGACCCTCATCTCCAAGAAACTGTCTCAAGAGCTTCACTTTGGTTTTCTCAGTAAGAGATACTGCTGGATTCAAGATTGGAAGCAATTCCAAGTAATCCGTAAAGGTTTCCCGCCATCTATGCCACGAGTCCAGGGAAGGTTTGTCGGTAGAGCACGACCAGAAGACCGGTGGAGTATTTGTCATGAACATGTTGACCTCCGTCGCCAGATATCACAGCTGGACTCTAACCGCAAGTACGTATTTCAACTAGTAGTGAATAAGCAAGAAGACGCGTCAGTCTGGCACGTAGTATACTGAACACTTAACGGTTTACATGTGAACACGGAAAGTTAGGGTGTGTCCTTGAGTGCGTGTGTGCGTGCTTATCTACGTGTGTGTGTAGAGCCAATCACGTTTACGGTCATAGTGAGCGATCATTGGTTGAACACGTAACAAGGAGCATCTGTTTGTGACAGTATCAATCGTCACAGCGCCATCCACTGGATATCCAAGAGGTCGGTTACTCTATTGGAATCCATTAGAAACCACTCGACTGCCTCTGAGCACGATGTGACCAGACGGGCTATTAGTCGCAAACTGAAGCGGAACTTGCGTGTGACAAACAGGCATAGTGGACCAGTCAGGCTCAATAAATGGAGGAGGCGAGAGCAGTAAGCAATTATCGTAAGCTTTTTCCAATAATCCGCGCCGGTGGTCCCAGGAAACCAGGCGTCAGTGAGACAATCTGACAGCGCGGGCGACCTGACTCACAATAAAGAGCGCTGGATGGCTAGTTGTTTCCCTTTCTTCCGGACCTCTTCCTACTCAGGGGATGCAAGGTGAGCCATGGACGGTTAGTTTAGAGGCTCCATCGGAGGCTGAGGTCCGAAACGCGATCACAGCACACAATCGTTTCCGTGCTGCTGGCCCGGATTCCCTCTAATCTGCACTATTTAAGGACGGTGGTGAGGTCCCCTGCTGTGCACTGAACTTTCTGTTCGAACATGTCTGGAAGACGTGGGCCTTCTCAGCTGACTGGATTGAATCGATTATGGTGACAGTATACAAGATGGGCAGTCGCACTGTCTGTGCTAACCACAAAGGTGTTTGTCTACTTCCAGTGGTGACAAAATTACTGGCCTCGATTCTTGTTTGTCGCCTCACTGTGGAACGGGAATCTCGGATTAGGGAAGGGCAGGCATATTTCCGCCCAGAATATGGCTGTATAGACCATATATTCACTCCGCGGCAAGTGCTAGAGCAGCGCTACGCATACTGCAGACGGGCAGTAGTTGTGTTCCTCGATTTCAAGAGTGCGTTCGATTCAGTCCATCGATGCATTCTGTTCGAATGGTGCGCGGAAAGGTGTTCCCACGCGATATGTGAAAATTTTGCTTGCTATATATTCGAACACTACAGGTCGAGTCAAGGTCTACAGGGTCCTACCGGATACCTTTCCGATAACAAATGGCGTTCGTCAGTATTGTCCGTTTTTGTTCAATTTCGTCGTGGACTCCATCATAGAGCGTTACCTTACGGAGTATCACGATGTAGTTATTGAGGTCCTGCCTGGTGAAAGGTTAGTTGATCTAGATTATGCGGACTATATCGTCTTGCTTTTTGACCATCAACCTTGAATAGCATCTCTAGAGTGGTCCCTTTATTTGTTATACGCTCCGCACCTTCACATTGCAAACTGTTGCTTCCGAACCACCAGCCACTTAACGACCCCTTTTCCCTTCCTAACGAGGAACTCGAGGTGGTTGATCGATCCTTTTACCTTGACAGCTGCATCAGCAACGATGGGTGCGTAGAAAGTAAAGTCACTTCGCGCATTTCCAATACCAGAACTGCCTTCTTCAAACTGCGGCATCTTTGGCAACAGAATGGCGTTCCCCCGTCTGGAAAGCCGTAAATACAAGGCCCCAGTGAGTGCCGTCCTGCTCTATTAAAATGAGACTTGGCCCCTTCGGTTTGATTATATGAGGCGCCTTCATGTCTTTGATTCTCGTTGTCTGCAGAGCATTGCACCAGCGTATCCGCAACGATTATATGTGTAGGCGAGTACTAGGTAGTGATAACCAGATTAGTTTATTGGAATACCAGATAGCACTAAACAAGTTGCGTTGGCTTGGGCACCTACTACGTATGTCTGGTCACGGCTTACCTTGGAGCGCCTTATTTAGTCTACCATATATGGGGCGATGCAAGACTCGGAGTGGACAAAAGTTAACACAGCAGCGGAGAATGAAGTCACTGACGACCAAACTGGGTGCCGTCGGTCCGTCTAGCCTTCCGGGCTGGAGTCCACCTGACCCGCCTTGTGCTTGGCTCTTGATTACCTGGCTCGCAGTCGACACCAGTGGCGCGTCTGCTGCCATCTAGTCGGACTGCCTGTTTAAGGTGTGTTTGGTTCTGAGTTATCTACTAGGTGATGGTTGATTATGACGCGGTGCGGTGAAATCCACAACAATGCTGTCTCACTGATGCTGTCTTACCTTTGCACGATAGCCAGCTGTTTGTGACGGTATGTTGTCTACACAAGGTGTAGGCGCCTTGACCCAGAATGTTTGCTTAGGGCATTAAGGCTTTCCGGTAAGTCCCTCTCCTTCCTTAGGTCATCATAGTTGTATGGCAGCGAAGCATCAGTGCAAATTCCTGATGTACTGCTGTTGTTGATTGTTGATTGTTTGTTCCATATTTCTCCATTGATTTGTCACTAACTTCAAGGTTCTTTCTGCTCTTCATGAACTTAAAGGTATTCGGTCCTCGATGCAACCTATCTTAAGCCTTCTTTGTTGTACTGCTTTCGATTTCTGTGATTTTCTATAATACATGTAGCTTTATTAGGGACACTTTCGGTTACATTATGGGTTGTTATCTGCAAGCTACCGGATAAACTGCAACTCTTACTCGTGGCTATCTCCATACGCTGCACGTGAGTCCATTTGACGTATCAAATTTTTCATCAGTATATCTCATTGGCGCTTCACAATAGTCTGCAGACTAGTGCAGCTGTTGGGCACTCTTGAATGGCCGCTTCGATTCCGCTCGTTGCTCTGTATCACAGTGTCTCACATCATTCTGTGTGTAAGTATACCGATCCGGTCCTCGGACCATGGTTGTTCAACTGGACTGAACTGAACTAACTATGCCGAATTGTTACCCCGAAAATGGGTACCATTACCAGTTGTCATTTGTACAGCTGTCGTGCCTACATATTAACCTATACTACTCTTGTATCTCTATCATTTGTGTGCTTTAGTGTGTGTGTGTGTGTGTGTGTGTGTGTGTGTGTGTGTGTGTGTGTGTGTGTACCGGCTCGTGGTCCGCGCCCACTTCTGCCAACGAATGTACGTTGGAAAATACTATATTTTTCTATTTTTCTTTTAGGTTATTTTTTGAATATAGCAAATACGGTGGAGTCCTTTTTGCGCAAAACTTTTTAACTTGCGTGCTTCCTGCACTAACTCACTTCCTGCCATTGCGAATGCTCTCCTACCACCATATGTTGAGTTCTTGCACTCATTTCTCCGTACTTTTTTCTAAGCTACTCGTTCAGCAATCGGTGGCATTTGAACAGTCGCATAATACAGGTTTCACGATCAACCAGATTCCTCTCTATCAGCGGATGAAAAGCTGAGCGGTTAACTGCGCCCGCGGTACCGTTGATCAAGATGCGTTGACTCACGTCTTCAAATTACTAAAAATAGCAATAAGTTAGCCAGAACGAGTAGAAAATAAAATCGCCGGATGAAGTGGATAAGAATCGGAAATAAGGAATCGAGCACAGGAGCGCTAGCAAGTTTGTGCTTTTGACATATCTGATGTAGCCGATTCTGTGAGGCCTTTATCTAGCAAGGTATCAAGCATTAATTCAGTCTGGCCTTACCGTCAGTCTTTTGCTCTATATTCTTGCAAGCTCGGGTTCGACCCAACCAGACACCGCGGCAGCCGCCTAACTGATATGCAGAGTGCATGACCCAGTCACTTAAGGCGCTTCGAGTTCGACAGACGCTCCAGCGATGCACCGGAAGGCCTGTTGCCCAACAGAACATCACGCTGCGTTGAGGCGTATTATCGAGAGTAAACAGCATCTTGCGAATTTTAGTTGATTGGGCCGATCACAAGAGTTGAATGGTTTTTTGGCATGTTACGGTATCTCTAAATCGTTTTGGAAACTGCATCCCGCGTATGGGGCAATAGCTTATTCCATCTCAGTGCCTGGTGGTTACACGCAACGTCAATTTCTTTATCCAACTGTATGAATTGAGAATTCACTGTAACCTACCCAAATTTGTTCAGGTTTTTTCATTAAATTAACCCCATTCTTCTGATCGTTAATGTTTTATGTACCTCTGTCTTTGTCCGCTCTTATCCGTCCAGGTCTCTGAAGCGGCTCCACTACGATCTTTGCTGGAATGTCTGCGAGACCCGGGACTACACTTCAGTTTCCCTGTAACCATACTGCATCGGTTCGCAACTCAGATAGCTCGCGCGATGGCTTATCTGGAAGAACTTGGTATTGTGCACCGCGATTTGGCAGCTCGGAATGTGTTGGTATTCGGAAAGGACATAGTACGTCATATGTTTAATGTTCGCCTTTTTCGTAAGTCTTTCTTGGGTCAGGTTCTACTGTATACTGTTCAGCGCTACACTTGAGAAGCACTCAGAAATAATCACTTGTTTTTGTGCCACTGTCAATTTGCCTCCTTGGTATGGTGCGGTCTTTTGCAGCGGTCTCACACGTGGCTATCTCATTTTCGAGTATCAAACCGTACATTAACTAGATTGTGCATGCGAATCTTTGATCTCAATTCTTCCAAAGTCAGTTCTTACAGCCATCAGTGTTTCCTCGTTTCTTCTTCCCAGTTATTCGCCGGTACTGTTGTCACACTGATGGTGTGTCAGCCCATTTCAGGCCATCAGAGGATTACACCACTGTTCAATTTTCATATCATATTATGTCTTCGGTATGATATCATGGTTGCAGAGGGAAGCTGAGCGGGAGCGAATAGGACAAAGAAACTCACAAGGCCGACACCATGGAGCCCGACTTTTCGCCGTTCTAACTAGTTTATCCAACCAAACGTGTTCATCGTCCCTCTGACTCAGGCTTGGCATTCGCGAGACGTCATCTGTGGCCAAGTTTGAAGTATGGGTCTTTACTCCTCCTGACCAAGTCATTAGTTTCCCTCCCTTTTCTTCCATTCAGACCCAGGGTGCACAAACAACACACGTCGAATGCGTTTGATGTGCCGGCATGCGTACCACATGATCCAGCCATCAGAGCCTTTGTGTTTGCCAAAACCGTTTGGAGCGGCTCACTCGCTCTTCCTGCACCAAACATGCGACGGCGAACACGCTCATTGCTCATGCGGTGTTCCTACCTGACATCAGCTGTCCTTCGAGAGCAACGATGGTCGAACGTAGCCTCCTTAGTTTTGTCGATCTGATGAGCCAGGTTTCATAACCGTACAGGAGGGTTGAACGCACGGCTGCGTTTCTGGGTGAGATTGATGTCGAGTCGGCAACATAGGTGACTGAGATTTGCAAAAGTTCTTATGTAGCATTTACTGTTTATGACTCACAGTGACGCAGAACTCACCAAGTGCGATATCATTATCAATGTGCAATCGTTCTGTGAATCCCATACTGACAAATTGCAACTCCAGCTGGTGCACAGATTTGGCCTCCACTACGTGTTCTGGCAGACTGTTCAAAATATTGTACACTCCGTAGCACAAGGGTAGGGCATTCGCTTGTGCTGCAGAGTGTTTCCAAGTGGAGCAGCGGCGTCAGCATGGGGGTCACCGAGGTGTAAACTACGGTAGTTCGTAATGATATCAACTTGTGTCCAGCGATAGGACAGCGTCTACAGTCCAAGTTTCTCGCATCAGTCCTCGTTTGGTATACCCCGTAAACTACGTGTTAGTTTTTTGGCGATGTGCTGGACCCGGTTCGATTTTTTGTGCTTCTCTCATTTGATCGGACAATGTGTGGGCGACCATTACTCTAAACATGGTCTTATGCTGGAAGATGAGAGGCATCCTCTTCAAACCAGCGGTAGAAGCCGCATTTTATGTCCCAGAGCACACTCAGCCAGTTTCGGTGTAGCTTGTTCTTGTTGTCTGCGCAACATGAGAACACAACTTGATCCCTCACAGGTGTAAAGTGTTACGGTTGACTGTTTAAGGCATATGTTTAGTCGTCAACACCATTTTTCTAGGCTCATGATTATCGACTTAGCTAGGTCGACCGACTGGCGGACTTCTGTAGACCACAGGAGGATGCGATTGAGGTCTTGCTGAAGTTGGCCGCAATCGTCTGGGTTGCTAACCACTCTCCAAATCTTTAGCTCTTCTGCAAACTGGGTCTAGCTTGAACGCAAGGGTTGTGCTCGATCGTTGATGTTGATCCGGAATAGATTAGGCACTGGCACCGTACCCTTGGGATACGCCAATAGTACATTGCTACCAGTGGGTTAGACGGCCGTCGGCTTGCACTTTCCACCTTCCATCGAGAAACCGCGTGATCCACTAGTGCCATGATCCACCAGCACCACACCCAGCTTGTGAAGGTGGACTTCTTGGTTCACCTAGTTCAACGCTCTAGAGACCACATCGAAAAACTTCCGCTTGTCCTTTACTTCCACCATTTATCTCGTCACGAGTGCAAGTTGTTGATACCTGAGGGGCATATCATGAGAACATTCTAAACGGGTGTCAGCGTGACTTTTTATCGGAACAGTTGTGGCAAACTTCCTCTCGATCTTCTTGGCTACCTTAGCCAAGATAAGTGCCAGACAGATTTGCCGACACTAGTCTACTTTGCTGAGGTCACCATCTTTCGAAACCGAATTTACTACCGTATATTTTCAATTGCTCGACAGCAAAATCTTCGAACATCGATTTTTTAGGAGCCCAGACGAGTCAGGCGAGTTGGTGACTGATAACAACTTGAGAATCAGTAGATGAGGTCTGTCAGACCCAGATGGCTAGGTGCCGTCAAGGTTGGCGAGTATTTGACGCACCTCAGCATCGCAATCCAGAGTGTCGGGTTCAGCGTGAAGAGTGAATGTCGATCTCGGTACGGACACTTGATTGTTTCCGAATACGAAGTCAGAGTGCACCGGCACTTTTAAGCAATGGGTATTAATGGCTGCCTGTTCAAGCCATCTGGCCCTGATAGGTCAACTGAAGGACTTAGACGCTGCGTCATATGGGCACAAAATCATTTGGGGGCAATTTTTACCATGTTTTCACGCTTTTCTTCGAGATGCCACTACTAGTTCTTTTTTGCTTTGTTGCAAATCTTCCATTGCCTAATATATGCCCCGTAGCTGTCGTTAGAGCAAGAATAGAAAAACTTGTCACATAGTGTTCGTATTCACTGAACCACTTTCATCCTTCTCGAACCTGTGTGGCTTCACCGGTTCGACTTTCCGATACTTGAGGGGCAAAAACCGAGAAAACAACGAATTTACCCCGTGTTTTATAATTGTCCAACAATCTTTCACGGACGCAACATACAGCGGAGACCAATGCACTTGGTTCGCGGTTTAAGTTTCACGGTCAAAGTCACTTTTCCAGTGGACAGAAATGGGCTACATTCAGTTCCATGTTGACTATCAGCAGTGATTGATCGTTTACTGCTATTGACTCCAGGTTCTGAATGCTATCACTTGTTCATAGTTCGTTAACTTCGGGTTTAGACGGCATGGAGTTGAGCGCGGCTTAAAACTTGTTGGCTGGCAGGTATTTTGTGTTGTCTCAGTTTCAAATATCATTTCCGCGAACTTTGTTTCCGACTAATAATCTCCAGGAATTAGTTGGACTTGAGGCCAGCGTTTTCGTCAATATTTGGAACCACCTGTGAGTGAAAAGTTGGGCGATTCGTGTGGTTTTGGGATGCCATTTAAACAGCTGCTCAGTGGACTGCAACCAGCTCTCTGTGTCCAAGCTTCATCGAGAACCACAGCCGTTCACCTAGGTCATCGTCGCTTCGATAGGTGCCCTACAACTTCAACACAGAGATCGGATGTGCAAAATAGTTTGGAATACTGGTAGCTCGGGTTGACGATTTGGCTGATCATTTGTTCGCCGAACTTGTCAATTCGGCTGCAAACGTTTCGTCACCAATCGAGGTGACATCATTAGTGCAGGGTTGGATGCAACTTGGTCGCAAAAGCTCGTATCAGACAAATCCAAGAATGTATTGTCACCTCGATTGGTGACAAAACGCTTGCAACCAAATTGCCAAGCTCGGCGAACGACTGAGCAGCTAAAAGATCGGATGTGGAGCGAAACACTACCGTTTTCATTTGATAACTTATCACAGCGGAAGCACGGGTAACCACTGAGCTCACATCCTGGACTATTATCTCCGAAGTCAACCACCTCTTCTCGACTTTTGTAAAGTCTGTCCGCTCAGGGGAAAAAGCGGCACAGCTCATCACACTTTTACACAAGGTTACAGACGGGCAAGGTGTGTCCCATAGAAAGACTACAAGTTTCAGTGTATTGGAACAACATACTGTCGTGCTAGTACGATAGTATTTTCGACTCCACGGTTGGTCGCTGCTGCGTAGGTTTCTAATCGGCCAAGCACCCACTCTATCTAGCTACCTTTCTAAACATTGGTGTCGTGAGGTTTACTGTGGTTCACTGTAAAGATACAGTCATTACTTGCTAAATTACGAAATTCGCAATTATGGCGTAACCTCATGCAACGAAGCCCACTTCGAGGTTAAGTGCATGCATAAGGAAGTCGATTGCCGCTACCCAAATCTCACTCGCCGCTGCCCTTTGGTTCCCTGCCTACTTCCCTGTCATTTGATCTGAACTATCCACTTTGCAACGGCTTCAAATTAACTGCTACAAAGCATTGCAACTTTGCGTCTGTTCTTCACACCATTAAACTGCTATACCATACTGCGGGACTGGATAGACACATCAACCGTTCTGATATATATCTTACGTCCATCGATTAGCTTGCATCATCTTTGGCAGTAAAAGACCATGTGGCATGTAGGAAGATCATGATCTCTTGTCTTCCCAGTGGATGATGGAGCATGTAGCACTGCAACTCCTTCGCTATTCTCCTTTTGGTAATAATGTGGCTACTGCGCTGTTGGGATGTTGAGGAACTGGTTATCTTTGATCAGAAGTATCTGAGAGTCATTGTTCATTGCCATAGATTGTCTCTGACTTTGGAAAAACACAAGTCTCTTTCACATATTCTACTATTTCCTTGCTCACTCCTAACGACTGTTGACCAATATGCTGATATCCACTATTATTTCTATTCCCCTTATTGTTGTTATTATTATAGTGTGCTTCATGGCAACACAACCGATTCTACTCCGGTTTCTGCATCGTCTTTGACTCCTTGCACGGAATTGCTCAAATTTGTCGGGGTTGATACGTATGTGCCTGTGCGCGACTCATTTGACGGCCCGTAGAACTCGAGAAATATGCTTATCACTACTTGTTTTTGCTATCTACATACTTATTGAACGCCTTCTGCGTGTGTACGCTGCCGGTGCCTCCCATGACCTAATCCCTTTTGTGGCCATATTGGTGTAAAGTTAATGACCGACTTGTAACTTTGGTCAGTGTGCGCCATCTGTCTAGATGCGAGCTTCCGGGTAGACCACACCTGTGATTGCAAGTAATGGGACTATCTATCTATCAGTGACTCTCTTGCGTCCGCCCCCTTACCCCGTACTGTTAGTTTCACATACTCGTTTTTCTCTACCCTTTCCAACTTCCTTCTGTTTGAGCTTTTCTCTTCATCTCCTCTCCTTTCGCTTTTCTGTTTTCTGTATTTTTGCTATCAGCGTGTGTCTGTGCGAGTTGATCCATCACACTGCACTACCCTGATTATGGCTCATGAGCTGATTTTTTCTTGCCTTTTTCAACCCCTGCCACTGACAACGTCCCAGCTAACTGATCATCCGATCGTGTTTCCCTCATACCCGTGTTGTCAAATGCACTAAAACAACTCAATATCCGTGTTTTAGCCTCTTAGTGTAACCTTGTCTTTGCATGAAATCACACCGCCTGTAGAGTGCATGCTAAGCTGATCGTTATTTTCCTCTTTATGCGAGCGAGACACCTACAAGTCCTACGTACTCAATCCCAGTCAGCTTTCCGTCGTCGCTGGCGCATGCGTACAGATACTAGACTGTGGTGCCTGATTGTCCGAATGTTTTATGCCTTCGGTAAAACCTTGTTACATTTTCTTTTTTCTTCGTCCATTACCTTGTCCGCAGCCGTTCTTACGACACACTTGGTTCTGGCAGCGCATGCTTTATTTTGCTCGGCCAGACGCTTATCATTTAGCTCCTAAAACTTCTAGCGCTCAATTTGCTTCGACTCTTCTGTATAGGTCGTCAGAATCGTTTAACCCCCAGGATGAATTAACCATATTTAGGTTTCTTATCTGATAGCGGCTGCTCAGGTCACAGTTGACCATAGTCATGCCTCATCTCACGTGCTCAAAAATTTGTAGCATGCTTCCTCGGATTGTTGAGGACGCTCGAAATGCAGCGTGAAAAGCACTGGACGGTTGCTCTCCTCTAACCTACACTTACACTTGCCTAAGATCACCCTTACGCTGGACCAGACTTAATATCCATTTATCTGATTTGCTCCGTTCTTTCATTCTGCCGTACATTTACCGTCGATTTTACATGTTTACTTTCTTCCATATCCCGTATTGGTTGTTTTATATCCCGGTGTGGCTGCGCATGATGTGAGTGTTCACAGGACGCCTACCTGTCGAGTAACCGCTACCACGATTTTACTGGCTCTAGGAAACAGTGTGCAGGTTCTCGTGACGGTGATAGACTCAAAGACTGGTTCCGTGCATCCACAGTGGAGCGACCTACGGCCCAGCCACCACCTTGTGTACATCTAGCACGCATGATTTCCTGATTAGGCATGAATTCTTCCGCCCTCCCTGTTGAAGGAGTGTGGGCTTGCTCCGTTGCTGAAACTGCTTCCCATCCACATGCGTCCCGGTATTATTTCTTTGGGTTTACACTGGCTATGGTGTGTATATGGAGCTGCGGGTGGTGCGGCACAAGCCACTCATGGTCTCTGTAGGCGCAGGCGTCCTGTGTCTGTTCCGCAGTGTCAGACAGATCTGGAATAGGATTCCGCCAACCATGATCATTCCCCATTTACTAATATACCTCTTATGAATATTGTGAATGTCTTACATCGATAATTTATTAACGACTCTAAGGGTTAGTTTCCAGTAAACGAAGTGCTGCAAATGTTTTATTAGCTGGCTACTTTTCCATCGCAACGTTCGCCTTCCTTGTAATTTTGATCTATTTTCAACTCAATAGGTTAAAGTCGGCGACGTCAGCGCGTCACGTGTCTTGCGAAACGCAAGTTCCTGCTATCACTCGAAGTTCGATCTCCCTATCGCTTGGTACGCTCCTGAATGTATCCATGATTCACAGTTCACCTCTGCCTCAGACGCCTGGGCGTACGGTGTCACTCTCTGGGAAATGTTCACCTACGGTTTCACGCCTTGGGTCGGACTATCTGGGCATCAGATCATGGAAGCCGTTGATTCCCCTCAGTGTGCTCGCCTGGACCAGCCGGATGCATGTCCTGATGCCATCTACGACGCGGTGATGCGCACATGTTGGTCTCATGAACCTGAAGCCAGGCCAACATTCAATCAATTGCTGGGTACGTTTTTCCACGCGTCTGTCAAGCCTTATCATCCTTTAGCTTGTACTTTTTAACTTTCACAATATGATTGCATTTGCTTGTGCTTTTGAAATGGAATCGACTTGTTTTCTGCAAACATATGGCACTAACTGCCGCGCTTTATCACTTCCGTCGCGCGTGTGATCTGTGGTGACTGTACTTGTAATTGTTCGCTTGCTTCCCTCCTCTGGGTATCGGTTTCTGGTGTCGCACTCTGTCGGCCACGACGTAGTTACTCTGGCCAATGGGACTCCGATGCGCGAACTAAAGCGGAGCCTGTGTGCTGACAAGGAAACCTGGTGGGCCAGTAGAATCCAAGAGATTGAGGAGGAACGAACAGTAAGCGATTTCCGCAACCTTTTCTAACTTATCCACACCACTGGTCCCAGGGAACCACGTGCCAGTGAAATAATCAGAGACAAAGCGGGTGACTCACAATAATGAGCGCCGTATGGTTCCTTGGGCTGAGCACTTTCGAGAGCATTTCAGTTAGTCCCCACTTCCCGGACGTCTTCCCACTCGGGTGGTGGCGGTTGATCCATGGTCGGCTAGTTTAGACGTTCCATTGGCGGCGGAGGTCCGAAATGCAATCACAGCCCTTAATCATTTTCGAGCTGCTGACCCGGATTCCCTCACACCCTCATCATTAATGTATGGAGGTGAGATCCACTGCAAAGCACTGACCTTCCTGTTCTGACAGATCTAGAGCAGACAGGCCATCCCAACTAGCTGTGATGAATCGATTATAGTGGCAGTACACAAGAAAGCCGTCGCACCGACCGTGCTAACTGTTGGACGGTGGCCGAGTGGTCTGCGCACCTGGTTTGCAACCATAAGGTCACCGGTTCAAATCCGCGTAGGGGTGGGCGTCCTCGCGGTATACTCAGCCCGCGCGCGACTAGCAGTGGTCGCGCGGCAGCGAAGCGCCGTTACGGCGTACAGCTGGCACATTATTATATTAACCCCCGAGGTATTAGCCTAGCGCCAGTGATGACAAAATTAGTGCCCCGATTCTCATTTGTCGCCTCACTTCTGGACGGGAATCCGAGATTGGAGAAGAGCAGGCAGGATTTTGCCCTGGACTGGGTTGTGTAGACCACATATTCACTCTGCGGTAGGTACTAGATCAGCGTCACACGTACAGCAGACCGACGATGGTTGTATGCATCGAATTTAAGAGTGCGTTCGACTCATTCTTCCCAAAGTACTTGTGCGGTCATGTATCACCATGAAATATTTGAATCTTTTACGCGCACTGTACTTGAACACCACAGGCTGCATCAGGTTCAACGATGACTTATCTGATATCTTTTCAATAACCAGCGGCGTTCATCAAGGTTCCCTGGTTTCTCATTTTCGTTTAACTTCGTCGTGGACTCCATTGTGGGCTGATCCCTTGCAGAATCTCACGATACAGGCGTTGAGATGTCTGGTGAGAAGCTAGTTCATAATGATCATGTGGACGATAATGTCCTGCTTTTTAGCCATGTTGGGGCCGCGCGTTCAACCCTGAATAGCCAGTCTAGAGTGGTCCCATAGTTTGTTATGCGCTCGCACCTTCAAAGTGCAAAGTGTTGCTTTAGGATCACCAGCCACTTAACGACCCCTTTACTTTTGACAACGAGGAACTCGATGTGGTTGATCACTTCACTTGGCAGCTGCATCAGCAACGATGGACAATGGAACAACGGTAAAAAAGCTAATGCTTAACAGGTCCCGTAGGATGGTAATGACGCAAATTCAAAATATGAGCAATTGTTAGCAAAATTGGGTTTACACAGTAAACTCATTGAAGTATACGTGGTATAGACTAACTCTAAGTTAAATCCATGAGAAATGACGGCAAATGGGATGTTGGTAAACATCGTGCCTTCTTCTGGTGTACACATACAGGAGGTGAAAAACGCGGAACGAAATGTGGGATTTGACCTCTAGTGGAATCTCTTACAGACGCTTGTGTTTATCCATGGGTAATGAGTCTTGTAAGATGGTGCAGCGAAATAAGTGCACGGTCAACCCTGGATTTGAACTCTGCCAGCGTGGGAGCACATATGACAGTTTCCGATAGGGCAATCCACGTTCTGCAGTCGCGTACGGGAAAGAAATTCCGACGGCATTCTAAGCGACTATGCTGTTTTGCCAGCTTGAGATGGTGGCCTTTCAAATTGCTGTTGTGACTGAGCTCTAGCAAATGGCGGCACGTGTGGTATGGATATCTCAAAATCTGGTAAGCCAATATGAGGTCCTTGCGCAATCGCTGATATTGTCTGCTGAAGACCCCGAGCGCTTAAAGCCTTCGTTCATACGGCAAATTATACAGACCTTTGACGTTTTTGGTTGCCCGTCGTTGGGGTATCTCCAAAGCGGTGTGATCTCTACTCAGCCACGGCTGCCAGACCTATCTTGCGTGTTCCACATGTGGCCGTATGTATGAGCCGAGAAGTGGAAAATCGAAGAACCGAGTCGTCCGAATGCACGCTTCAGGAGGCCCACGTGTTGGATGCCCCCTCTTCACGCCGTTTCAGTTTGATTCGAACATCCAAGCTCAGCCCGAACAAAACTCCCAGATCCTTCTCACCAGAGCGCTCTATTCGCTCGTTAAGGACCTGGCTGGAAGCGACCGCGTGGTGGTCAGCCTTCCACTTGGCGGCAGCACATGAAATCACTGACGTCGCGTCTAGCCGCTGTTGGACCCGTACGTCTTCCAGGATGGGGACCCAAAGATGAGGAGTGCCAATGGCTTCGGACTCTTGAAGACATGGCCCGCAACCGGAATCAGTGGAGGAATTGTGTACAGTGTTGTGTTGATTCACATGTTTAATACTACCAACATTGAAAATGACAAAAAAGAGAAAAATCGGCGTGTGACAAACAAACTAAAATGTTTTGTTCTGTATTTTTGTCAAAATATTCCATTTTCTTGCGGCATATTAGCTGAAGTGTGTTGCCCACCTTCAACTAGCATGCCACGAAGATTATGACGCAATGACTGTCTCTTATCCACTGATTTCCATGGCTTTGTTGGCTCTATGTCTAGTTACTAGACTGTTGAGATTACATACATACATACTTCTCACCAGACGTTTGAAGCTCCTGGTTGCCGAGTTCGTATGAATGCATCAACTTATGCCGCAAATGCAGCACTATACATTTGTCCACATTGAATCGTAGTAGATTCTGGGTTGACCACGCGTGTACCTTATCCAGATCAGCTTGAAGTACTGTGATGTCATCTGGTATATTGATTACCCTCCACACCTTGATCTCATCGGCATACAGAAGGCAGTTCGAGCTTATGATGCGTGTGATATCGTTACGATACATCAGAAATAATCGCGATCATTGTACCGATCCCTGTGGTACTCCGCACTCAACTCAGATGGGATCTGACAGCGAATCGCGCACACAGACTTCCATTCGCCGGTGTAGATGAAAGCTTCCGATCTATCCTAGAAGAGGATCACCAGTACCAAAGGTCTGAAGAGCAAAATGTTATGGTCTAACCGGTCGAATGCCTTTGAGAAGTCAAGGAAGACTACACCAACTCCTGTGCCAGAGTCTACTACTTCAGTCCAGCTGGATCGTGCTGGTAGTACATTTATAGTGCGCGATCGATTTCGTCGGAAGCCATGCTGTTCCGGTGCGAGGTAGTTAAATTCTTCCAAGTAGGCGATTAGCGCATCAGAAATAATAGCTTCCATGACCATTGAAAGAACCGGTAATAAGATTATGGGACGGTAGTTGGCTGGATTGGAACGACTACCTCCCTTGTGAATTGGGGTAATCATCTCGTGTTTCCACATGTCGAGCACGTACATTTCGTCGAAACAGTTTTGGAAGAATCGAGTCAAAGACTCAGGTTAACTCTGTCCCACCACGGCTAGCGATTTCATATGTGTATTATCAACTCCAGCACAGCTGTGCTTGCGCATACTTAACAGCTTTTTTTTACTACAGCCTCTGCTGTGAAGGATATGTGAGTGAGTTTTGGGAGTGAAACAACCGTTAACATGGGGTTATGTGGCCAGTGATGACACTGAAATGTTGCAGTATATTGTAGGCGCAGGGTATTCGCCGCCTCCTTCTGTGTCCGTGTGGCTCCGCCCTCTGCTTGAAGAGAAGGAATTCCCCGTTTCACCTTACGTAGTCTGTTGACCTTTTGATACGGAAGCTTGTGATTGGAGGCCATATGCACTTCCAACTTCTGCTGGTACACCATTCTGTCCTCGCGAACAAATTGAGTACAGTGGTTACGTTGGGTCGCATAGGTCATGCAGTTCTCGGTGCTCGGGAAGAGTTTCTAGATACAGCAGGCTGAGTTTCGCTCCGCTGCACACTTGTGTGTCGTACTTTGCAGAAACGAGACCACGTTTCTCGGCCGGAAGATCTTAGTCCCTGACGCTTCGGTAACCAGAGAGTTAAACTGGCTGACGAAATATTCCCATGTACTAGCTGGTGCCTCGTCTGCCAGAAAGGTCCAGTTGGCTTTCTCCCCCAGTCGAGCTAACATGTCGTAGTGTATAACCGTTTTTGTTGCATCAGCGATTTCCACGGGATATTCTGCTTAGCAAATGTATTCGGAGAGTAGGACTACACGATCGCTGCGGCCCAGTGGGACGCCGACGATCACCCTCTCGACCATTAGTTCTTCGTTGATGCATATCCGATCCAGTGGTGACGGCTTATCTTTGTCTCGGAATCGGGTGGGAGTGTTGATGTGGCCATACAGCGGGTAACTGGTGACAAACTCTTTTATATCTACCTTAAACTGTTCTCTATGAGATGCTTGGGACTCCAGATCTTGGACGTTGAAATCGCCGGTAGTGAGAAAGTGGCTGTACGTTGGGTTTATCACCCTCCTTATTGCAGTTGCCAGTTAGAAGTCCATCTCAGGCGTGGAAAAAGGAGGGCGGTAAATGACCGTTACTAAGCAAATGTCGTTGCTTTTTAAACGTATACGGCACCAAAGAGAATATTGTACCATGCTGACCGGATCCTCTATGAGCTCACATTGGAGGTCGTTTCGGAAGTACAGAACCACCCCTCAACCTTTGCTACGTCGGTCGTACCGAACATTGGACTTGTCTGGCAGTGCGATCTCAATGTCAATTATATCAGGGCTTAACCATGTTTCCGGCACAACGATGAGGTCGCAGGCTTTGGATCTTTGACGCAGCCGCATTTCTTCGAGTTTACTCAGTAAGCCTTGAGCTTTGGTGTACATACAAGAAGGCTTCTCGGATGTCAAAAGCTGTTGACTAGGAGCACATGAATGATGTGGATTCGTGCTGATCAGTGAGAAGCCGACACTTAAACACTGAAGTCAGCTCACGTATTTCAAAATCCAGAACTGCATTCTTGTATCTGCCACATTTTTGGCGTCAGAGATGGGTTTCCAAAAGTATCTGCACTCTGTGATGGTCGAATCGTACGCCAAGTTCTTATGTAGCATTTTATCATAATCTGGCTTCAAGTTTCACAGGTTTCACAAATGCAAGATGATGTTGTTAGTACGCGATTGTTCTCTGAATGGAATGGGGCTGATATGTAAATCCAATAACGTTTTGAACTGTTGTACATATCCAGCTTTGAAATAAATGAGAATATGCGTAGCTCGGGGTGTGGATGCGGATTTTGGGCGGTTCTCCGAGCTGACTGATTATTGTGCAGACGTTACGATTAGTTATTGCAGACTGCTGCGTACAGTTACCACTCCCCGTTTGAAGCACAGGCGGTGGGGTTCTCCTTTTATATCCGGCACCACAGGCTTGTACCGGTGTCCGCGTATGTTGCATGGCGTTCGCAAATGAAGCAGCGGCTTCAACATGGGGAACTCACGGAGATGTAATATACGGTAGGTCCTGAGGAGATGGACTCGCACTCGAAAATAGGTGTACTGTCCTAGTTTCTCGCACCGGTTTTCCCGTAAACCTGGAATGAGCCTGATAGCGATGTGTTGGACCCGTTCGATCTTCTGTTCCTCACCTCGGGTGATCGCGCAGTAGGCAGATGAGCCGTACTCCAGTATTTGTCTTGTGATGGAAGAGAAGCGGTCAGTGGCAACCTCTTCAGACCAAGTACCGGAGCTGCGTTTGATCGTACAAAGCATGCACAGTCCGTTACGATATAGTCTGTTCGCGTTGTCAACAGACTTCAAATCGCAGTGCGAGAGTACACCTAGATCCTTCACGATAGGTGTTTGATGTTGCGGTTGGTCGTCAATAGTGTAAATTCAGCCATGACCCTTTCCAAGGCTAATAAATACCGACTTGGATGGGCTGACCGGGAGGCGGACTTCCGCAGATCAAATGGAGGGGCTGTTGAGGTCGTGCTGAAGTAGGCTGCAGTCATCTGGGGTGCTAATTTTTTTCAACTCTTTAGGTTGTCCGCAAACAGAACACAACTCGACCGAATAAGCTGAGGTAGATCGTTGATGTGGATTAGGAATTGTGTGCGTCCGAACACCGTGCCTTGGGTTACTCCACTAGCAGAGGTATACCAGTCAGATGGCCGTCGACCTGTACCCTCCGCTTTCGCCCAACGAGAAAGTCCTGGATCCATTGGTGCAGTGATCCACCAACACTGCACACTCTAAGCTTGTGGAGGAGGACCTCATGGTTCACGTTGTCAAACTCTTTATTGAAGTCAATGTAAGTTACGCCGACAGACTTTCCCTGATTTATCGCTTGCAACCATTCATGCCTCGTCACCAGTAGGTACTTTATCCGGTAACTCAGATTTTTGTGCTTGGAAGATCCGCAAGATTCTTTCCAGAGGTTCCTCAGGTGGATTTTTCCTACCAAGTTTCTCAGCTTTCCACTACTCGTGAATCCTCATATCACTGGATATATACTTATTCTTCACCAGATTGAACTGACGCTTTTCGACCTTTTACCATTTTCCATCTCTGCTTTCGCCCGCTCTCCTCGTTCACACAGGTGTACTGCCCCGCTTATACCCTGAACCTTGGATCTCCACACGCGAGTACAAACCGAGCATGGACGAACACAATACCGATGGTGGATACAGGGATTCGCACACACCTAACGACCAATACGAAGATACCACAGCTTCACATCTGTTAAATCGCCTACCACTTGGTAAACAATTATCCGTGCGATCAAAGGAGGTGGTCTACGTGTTGGCAAAGCGGTGCGTCCGTGTTTTGTTTGTTCGTCTTGCTGCACTTCATTATTCTTCAATTACCTTTATCTGGACCTCACCTGCAGTGGTTTTTGTATGTGACTTGTGTCCGAATAATTTTTACCCACCCTCATTAGCCCACAGTGAGATACTCGCAGCTGACTGTTACTAGTTGTTGTCAGACACAGGTCATCCATCTTCGGTAACTCACTTCAGAGATTCAGATGAGCCGCATCTTTCATGGAAGTTTGTGGTTTGCTTCCAGGTACGCCTCAAACGTCATCCATCGCAACGAGACGAAGCCTAAAAGTGATGCAGTGGTTTGGGTGCCTCTCTGATGCATCTCCTCATTGGGGCTACTTAATACCGACCCTGATATATTGATGTGCCATCTTCGTATCTCGGTGGCTTCCACACATTGTGTGCTAGTATCCGAATGAAGGTATGGATGCAGTGACGTGCATTTTGGCTTACCTTTTTGTCCCACTACTTCAAAGTTTTATAGTTACACGGCTCAGTGATAATTTCCAAGTATCATTCGGGCATACATATTCTCCCGCACTTGCACCGCACCAATCGGCACTTGCTAGTTGCCCACGTCAGAAATCGACTATCTTCTTAACTGAAAAACGCAGCTTCGGAGTGCCGGAAAGACCTTTACTCTGCTATCATTCTCATCGACAACCCGTGATTCCTCAGCGTAAAAACGGTGTTATGGGCCGTCGTGGCCGATCGCTTGATGCTTGTCCTAGCGTTCACTATTTCTCCACTAACTTCTTAGTGTCCACTATTTTAATGTTTTTCATGAATTGAAGTGTTTTAAGTCCCCGATGCAATTTACCTTGGAGTGGCAACCAAAGTTAGGAAGTTTCATCTGTGTTCTCGCCGGCGACTTCAGTAGGAGTTACACAACTTTCATTAACATCCTAGGCTCAGTAAATCTGGTGAAATTCCCCACCAGACTTGACGCGCATCTAGATTTATCTTTTACTAACAAACTCGAGCGGTTCTCTACACAAAAGCGTGCATTCCTTGGTACTTCCGACCGTTACAAAGTAAAGCTAAGTCCAAGTTATACAGGAAGGTCGACTATTTTGCGCTGGCCAAAGTACATCCATAACTGTTAAATGATGGAACTGCTCAGCAGAAAACATCGAAAAACTCAAATCGACACTGTCCGCAACTGGTTTTGTAATTTTTCTAATGTTGACTTGTCAATTCAAGGCGAGCACCTCACAGACTACATAACCTGTTTTAATCTATTTTGCCCCATTGAGACAATTTATTTGCAAAGTTTACCGATTTTCACCTCCATTGCCCAAACAGCTGAGGTGGGAAAGCAACAGGCTTATAAACATAAGCTGACTGTTCGTGTGAAACATTTGTACGTCGCTATAAAAACTCAAATAAAATGCTAAATACTCTGTACATTCATACCGCCTTAGGCAATCACAGTTACCATGATCTGTGGAGGCTTCTAAGACAGCTCTCCGGAAAGTATTCTTTCAACACTGAAGATGGAGACAAACTCAGCGCCGAGTTAAGCTTCTCGTCACCTAACACACTCCTTGCCTTTCCTCACCCCTTCTGAGCTTCCCACTTCATTTGATTCTGAGCGTTTCCAACAATACCTGATTCACTTCCGACTCCAGAGAGATCGCTGCAGTGATAGATTCCTCTTGCTGGCGCTACTCGCTTTTCGGTAGCCGGGAAAGTGCATCAACTTGACCAATCTTCTTTGTAGAAATGTGCTTCACCATAAAGTCGTAACCAAGTAATGTAGTAGCCCACTACTGCAACCTGTGCATGCCGGCATGCCCGACTTTGATCCGAAAATTGTCAACAGTGGCTTATGGTCAGTAAGAAGTGTAAACTTCCATCCATACAACATCTTGTGAAATTTTTTTACAGCGATGATTATCGCCAAGGCTTCTTTCTCTATCTGGCCTTACTTTCGCTTTGCTGGAAACAGCGATCAGGCTGTATGTGCAATTGCCTTTTCTGAACCATCTGCGAACTTGTGAGCTATGACTGCACCAAAACTATAGTTCGAGGCAACTGCGGCCATAGTAGTAGCCATTTTACTTCGTCTGGTATTCTTCGGACCAGTTCCAAGGTTTATCCTTGGTCGGTAGGTCACTGAGTGGACCACGAAACCGATGCATGTGCTGTGGGGACGGGCTGCAATGACTTAATAGTCATAGGAAGGACCTTGGCATTGCAACATCTATAGGCGGCGCCATCTTGATTGCTCCGATGTTCGCTAGGTCTAGACGTTTGCCGTTCCTATCGATTATAAACCTGGGAAACGTAATCGAGTCCATGAAGAAGGTACACTTCTCAGATCGGAGTCTGAATCCGTATTCCTCAACATGGCCAAGAACTTCATCCAACTTTTCGAATAAGTCATCAGCACTGCCTTCGACAACAATGAGGTCTTCCAGGTATGCGACTTCTCCACCGACATCTGCCAGCATTGTGACCATGATCTGCTTGAATATGGTTGGGGCAGACTGAACTCCAAACGGGAGACAGTGATACTGGTACAAGCCTCGATACGTATTGATAATGAGGAATTCTCCTGTAGCTTCATGTACCTCGATCTGCAGGTATGCGTCAGAGAGATCCAGCTTTGCGCAACATTTGCCTCCATTCAATTTTGCGAAAGCTCATCTGGAAGCGGTAAAGGGTACTGATGGGCGTTCAATGCAGCACTTAGATCCGTCGAGAAATCGGCGCATATTCGAATCTGATCATTTGGCTTTTTGACCACAACAACGAGTGCCGTCTAAGCTGAGTGGTTCATCGGATGGATAACGCCGGTTCTCTAAGTGATCCAGCTCCTGGTCAACTAGTGTTGCGGCGTAAGGTACAGCGCGCGTCGCACGAAACACTGGAACAGCATCGGGCTTAAGGGATAATAAAGCTTGTATTTTGGTACATTTACCGAGATCTTCCCAAAAGGCTGCTGCATATTTCTCTCATAGGCGCCCGATGACTACAGTTTTAGGAGCTATTGTGTATCTGGACACTTGCACAAATCTGGTTCATTGAAGCCTTCAGTAGGTAGAAATGATCACTCCATTCCATACTCAGAATATTCAAATTCTGGTGGCTCGTGAGGAATTTTTTCCCCAAGCGGAAATTCAGCATAACGACACTCCCACTCGATTTGACCAAGCAATTCCAACTTGGTATCTGATGCACTTTTCGCTTGTTGACGGATAGGTTTGATTTCTGGCGGCCTTACAATTCTCCACAGCCTTTCTGATATGGTCATGATGTCTGAGGCCTGATCGATCTGTATACCCGCCTGTCTTCCTTTGATGTTGATGTACTTTCTGCGATATCTGACATCGTCAATAAAATTGGCGTTCACTCTTCGCGAGACGATGGTAAATTTTCTTTCGTGCATCATGAACCAGTCTGAAAGATGGCTTGGATCTGCAATGAGTTTCTCTGTGCCCACGTCTATGATATTTCTGGCAGATATGTATGTATGTATGTAATCTCAACAGTCTAGTAACTAGACATAGAGCCAATCTGGCAGATATGCTTGTTGAATGAACACCATCTAACAAAATACCAGTCTCCGCATTGCCAACATGCTGATGAGGGTTTAGATTGAGGGCGCATCTTGCGATCAGTGGCCCGAAATCTGTTGAACTACAAAATCATTGGTATGCGTCTTCGTATCCTCGACCGAAGCTGTATCATGTTTTAAGTTGATGATTCTCTCTACCTCGGCAGTGACAGCTTTCAGTGTGACATCCGGGTCTCGGCATACTTGGGCAATTTCAGGCTGAATACCAGTATCAGACACTCATATTGGTCTTCAGTAAGTGATTTCAGCTTGAATTTCTGGCACTTTCGCCTCCCTGTTGCTACATGAGCAATGTGACTGTCGCTGTCCCTCTTGCACAGCTTCAGGCAGTTGTGCCGATTGTTGAAAAGCCATGCCTGATCGCCGCCTATCTCCTTAAGTCGAGAAATTGTTTCCTCGAAGCTGAACTCTTTAGCACTTTTGGGCAAACTGTAATTAATGTCTCTAACTTGCTCCACAGTTCCGAGTTTAGGTACCAGTAGCCGTACTTTTCGCATATCATCAAAATTTTCTAACTTTGCCTTAAAAATATCTTCATAACCTCTGAACCGTACGCCGAAATCAGCCCTGAAGCGGAAAGCCAACTCACTGGCATTGTTGATTATTTCATCAACTGAGGGCTTCTTAGCATTGTGAGCGGCTGTAGACTGGAGCGATAGTGTTCGAGTGAGGGTTTCGACTATTCGCAGCTATGCGGTCTCGAATTGAGCCTGCTGTTGAAGCAAACTAGCTTTCAGATTTTCCGCTGAGGTTGAAATTTTGAATAACTTTGCTTCCGTCGCCAAATACTGTTGTGTTTCCGCTGATAGTACGGATAACCGATACAGCCATTCGGGTCACGATACAGCTGCTTCCCAAATCAGGAAACACAGCTGTCAAGCGGAAATTGTATGGAGCACCCGGAAGACAGTATCTACAGCCAAGATATGAGGTCAAGATAAATAGTTCATGAGAGAATGACATACTTGAAAGTTCCTGACTATAGCAACTGCTAAATGCGCAAAACCTCGTTTGTTAGTTGTTCAAGTAGTGCGCTCACCGGAGGGCTTCAAGGCAGGTCATTCTCATTGGTACACTTCAAGGCAAAACGATGTCATTGGCTTACTCTCCTTGGCTAGCCAGTCAGCTTCAGGCGGCGTGCGACCAATCTTCTCCGGGCTGCTTTGGAGAGAGTTGGTTTCAAAGGCTCCCATAGATTCCACAAGTGTTTAAAAGTAGTTCACGAGACTGAAGCCAAACGAGGCTACTGGACTGAGTGCTTTATTATCAGTCGTTCTGAAAGAATGTACACATTTCATTGACACCTGTGACAGAGATCTTGAATCGGTGTTTGACGAGTAGTACAACTCGCGACATTTGATACTCATCTAGAATAACACCAGTGTCTAAACAGTCATCTCGGAAATGTCGTCCATTTGCTTGCACGCACGTTCTGCTAGTTACTGGAAAACACTACTGATCCCCCGCATTTTCATAGGCACTTATACTGATGATGTCAAACAGTTTGCTTATAACCAGCTCGCTCTACATTTGATGCCATTTCTTATCTGGTGCATTCCATCGCGTTCAAGAGCATACGGTTTCTTTCTTCATTGTACCAACGCTACTGCGAGCCTCGGCAGATCATTACTAATCAACGTTTTGTCTGACAATGACATCCCCCATATTCGTGTAGTGTGATGCGTGATTGCTTTACAAATCGCACCCACTTCACGCAGCTATGGGGCAGAAAATCTTGTATTCCAAGCCGATTGTGGTGTTTGCAGGGAGCCAGCCTATCTCCCTTTATATGCTCCGCCTACATCGAAAGTCTCCCTATTCTGTCGAACTGCCTAGGCTTTTACTATACTGATGACGTCATCTTGGGTTACACAACCCCAATCACCGAGGACTCTTTTAAACTCCAACGAGGTTTAGACGAGCTAGTGGCTTGTTCCAGCTCCGGTCCCTCTCTCTCTCTCTCAACCTTCCAAGTGTTTTAACGTAACGTTCTGTTTTCAACATCCCAACGAGCTGTAATCCCTTTGTGTCTCCCTTCCCATGATTGTGAATGGCAAAACCATACCTCTTTCGTCTACCCTGATATCTCAACATTTATCTCAGTTTACACATGTTCCTTGAAACCTTTTAAAATGTTGGAGGGCTTTTTTACGCCCCCCTACTTGAAATGCTTTCCGTATTTCTTGCTTTGATCCTGAGGTTTGTAACTGTATGTATTCTTCCTCACTGGTTATACTGTTCCTCAGTTACTTTTCCAGGACTGCTTCAAAACAATCATGTCCTTGCCCGCTCGCTAAAATTTACTTCTCACTGCTCTAGTTTAGGGAAGGAAACCCTCATATATCTCATTATTAACAAACATTTTGTTGCATGCATCAACCTTTCATCCAGGATCTTAAGCGACTCCTTTCACCCTTCACACACTATCCTAGCCAGAACTTTCTCTACTTCGTCCACATTGTCAAAATCTAAAATTTCATACTCTCGTACCTTGTGATATCGAAATTCTTATAGCCTTAGCTATTACGCTTACTAATCGACTCCTCAGGAATCGGAAACTTCTTCAGTGACCGTATGCTTGATTGAAGATGCAACTTTTGTTTTACTGCCGTCAGTTATTTCTCATTGATGCTGTTGTGTTATATTCCGGAGTGATAGTGTAAAATTGCGCCCATTTGGGTTGACAGATTTTATTTGTTAACTTAATTTGTCTGATGTTCCGCTGTCGATTTCTGTGATTTTGCATGGATTCTTTCGATTTCTTTGACGCACGGTAGTTTCGCACTGTCAGGTAAACCGCAACCCAGACTCCTCACTGTCTATCCGTATGCTCCACGTGAGTTAGGGAATTTCTTATCACCATATTTCATTGGCGCCTCACGATATTCTGCAGATAACTGCTTCACATCCAGTTCTCTGCTCTATGCCACATAGGTCGTTTTTTATACTAGTGTGCCTGTATGCCCATTTTTACTCTGAAACTGGTATAATTACTATTTGTCATTTGTGCACCGGGTGAGCATCCCTTGTAACTTGTTCCTTACCCTAATTGCTTTTTGCTACGGCCTAATAGCTCCACGAGTGAATGTGCTGGGCAACACGCACTTCAACATGAATTTCGGGTTTAATACATGAAATTCAGGCGAGGGACCGCAGTCATTTCTTGTGGCTTCCAACCTGACTTATACTCTGTTGCCAGTCATGATGCTCACGGATCCTCCAGTGGTATTATTGATGCGGGTTGATGGCGACAATCATGATCGCATTGTCATTTCAGCGGTTTAAGGATATAGAGAGAATGTTTGATACTCGGGATATGGAGTACTTGACATGTGTTTTGGATTACGGCACGCAATCTCATTTGTGACTTCCGATCAATGGAACCATATCCGACCAAAGTGCACTCCACGACCGGCGGTTTCGTCTTGGTTTTGAATCATCATCTTGTGATAGGCTGAATCAGGAATGGAACTCGGCAAATAGTGACTGGCGGCTATCGCCATGATCATTATACCATTGAGCTCCGTGTGTAAAGGCTGAGACTGCGGCTTCAGTTGACTTTAAAGCCATTCTGTGTCGTTCTGATCACTGGGGCAGTATCCGACCGTAGTGCAATGTTTCGGTGATGCTATTTTCTATTCCTTCACTCCGCGATCGACGACCGAATGTGTGATCTGATTGCAGACCGGACGAAATGAGAACTCGCCTACATCCGCGCACGAGATTCATCAGGAGTACTCTAGTCAACTGTTCTGTCCGAGCTCGAGCTCATGTTTCATGCACCGTCTTTTTTCCTCGCTTACTTTTAATGTACTGCATATTTTCACTGCAAGCTCTGTACTTTTCATTCCCATCCTTCACCTGTTGCTGCTTTTCCTGGTGACCAGTGTAGTTTTTATTAATTGCAAACCTACTTTTTCGTATTCCAGTAACACCACGTATACCTGACGGGTCTCGCACATGACGATTCATATAGTGCACTGGCCCAACCAGCGCTTCAATTAGATGTAAATCATTGTCACAGGCCTGACTTTGCCATCCACAACCCAATCGCATTGTGCTTGCCATGTGTGGGACCCGCGAGCCTGCTGGCCACACATTTACAGTCTCGTTTATTTCGTTCAAGTAGGGCGATACACACCAGTCGCCATCAGCTGTTGGAGAACACATGGCCACTGTTTCCTAGCGTGGCGACAGGTGTATTGCATTCATACATCAATTCGGCCTTCGGATCTTGTATTCATCAGTCCGTTTCATCTGGTATGGACTGGCCGTGTTGCATAATACCTTTTTCCTTTTGGCTTTTTTCTTTGCATTCTTTTTAAAGATTTGGCACGCCATCACTCTATACTACTGAGCTGTCACGTTCCTTCTCATCATAAACGAGTAAACCGGTTTTCTTTCTACCATCACAGCAATGCACATTTTTGGAGAGTTGTTACACATGAAACGCACCGAATTGGCTGTCTACCGACCTCTATCCTCACCCCCTACACTCGTGGCGAATCCTGCTCAAGGGGTGTTCCAGCTACACCCTCAGCTTCGGTGGAATCGCCTGCTGTGTCGAAAACCTTATCACGAAATCCTCGACGAGGTGAGCTTTTCTGAACCTTACTCGCTTCGCAGATTACATGTTTCTAGAGCATTTAATCGGCGGATTCCTTTCAGTCTGTTTAATTTACACAATAGTTATTCAAAGTTATCCCTGTTTTACTGATTTTCGTCTCTGTCAACTTGATTTAACCATGAGATCGAGGAGAAAGTGACCTGCAGAATCAGCAACAACGAGACCGGTACTCATTTTCATGCTTCACCACGTTAAATATTTACAACGAGGTAGATACAACTGGTACTAGGTAATAATAATCGGAATAGTTATGTAGTTTCGGTGTTCATGCCCCATCAAACACTGCAAACTCCGATCGGTTTCCTCCTTTTTTAAACTCTTCAGGTAGGTATCTGGGAACAGAACCATTAAGTTATCGATTGACAGCTGACACTTTGATCACTAATTTATTTAGCTCCACAGACAAATCTTGACACAGCGTTGAGATGGAGTCTGATGTTTGACTTTCAGGATTCACGAAGACATTTCAGATCAGGACGACCACACTTGGTAAACGCCGTACGATGATGTATCATCAGCTACAGCAATTACCTCGTGTGTTCCACTACCATGCGTTCTAGGCAACCTCACCTTTCTGATTACTCCCACAGGCTTTGAGACGATAGTGATTGCATCTCTGGTGTTTGTTAGTTGTCATGTGTAGGTCACACTGACTCCAATCTGAAAGGCAACACTGAGTAGAAGCAGCATTCATAATGCTCAGCGGATCCACCTAGGTCAATGGTCGCCCCTTTAATCCCTTGCCTCCTAGCACAAAACTGCTCTCCGTACTCACTGAACGGGCATATGTGGCACGGCACTAAGCCAGTACAAGTTATTTCGTCTTGTTCGCTGGCTTGATCTCCTGCTCACCTCAGTGCCACTGGACACGAAAGTTCCCCATTGGCCGCACTGGGTAACGGCTTTGGAGTCGGGAGTCTTTCACTGTAGTTCTGTACAGATTTTTAATGTCAGGGGAAATCCTATCCAACGCAAATTTTTAGCAGAAATCCTTGAAGATTTTTATTCCTTTCGCACTGCTTAAACTTGTCCGAACAATCTTATGTTTGTCGTTGGGAATGCAGCGATCAGGAAGGAGTATTTCTCAACTTTTATTAGCTCATTGTAATCATGCTTCCCTATGTTAGCAAGCAGGCTGGATTGCTGCAGCAGCGCTCTGCATATGATAACTCTTAGCGATTGTCGGGGGAATGGGATAACACGAGAATACCTTCGGCATAAATTGCATCGTTTCGCGATTGTTGAATCAAATGAGGTTCGTCGTGCACCCAATCCAGACTAACCAGTTTTTACTCACGTTATCTGCATCGTTAGATTGGATTGTGGGGAACGATCAACGATGCAGCCTACATTGTAGTCAAGTAGCGGTAGAAACATGTATAGACCTAAGTGGACTCCGTTTGGATTCGAGTTCGCTTTCTGAATCAAGTGACGCAGTTATTGGCTTGAGATTCGTATATCTGTATGGTACTCGGTATTTAGTAAAACTAATCTATTCATGTGCAACCTGGCGAAATACTTGTATATTCTTTGTGCATACAGACCACCGGTTTAATCCGTGGGCGGTAGGCTACATTGAAGTTTACTGGCCCCATGCTGCTGTCTCTGTGGTTGACCCAGTGGTTACGAAAATCTTTCATGGATGTCATCTCTCTAGTTGATTGATCCCAATAGAGGCCGCAGTGGCAGCCAATTCTGGAGTCGGATGCCGCCAACCATATGTAGAACGCAATCAGTGATACATATATTGCGCCTTTGGAATCATTACGTAATTGGAGAATAGAATTGGCGATAACTGTCACTTCCTTCCATGCTTTTTGTTATAGCCTAGTCGATACCTCTTACTTTGTGCCGGAGCACCTGCGACACGAAAACGGTAAAAGGGGACCGGCCGCGTTTCGAACCTTCCATTCAAATGAAACTTATTATTTTTCTGGTCACTGTTCAATCCGTGTCACCTGAAATAGGAAAGAATGGAAGATACAGGCCAGTGTGGGGATGTTTCAGCTTGCTTCCCCTAACAATCCTAAAGACTTTTAAAGCGGTTAGCACCCTACAACGAGTTGAATAGTGCGGGAAGAAGACGAAAGCTGACGGATGCATGCATTTCGTTCTGCCTCGATAATGCGCGCATCTAACAATTTTAGTCTTCTTGCTGCACTTTTCACATCCTACTGATGTTGGCATTGCGAGAGTGGGGTGAGATCCTTGAGTTCTCTGGACATGTAGTGCGGGTTTGCAGTTGTTCAGAATACCTTCTCCCCATTTTTGAGACTCTGAATTTTATTACACTTCTTGATCGATCCACAGCCTTCTTTCTAACCCACATCCGTTAGCTAGTCTCATCATGTTGTGTCTGGCACAAGGACTTTTTTATGACTTGCGGCGGATTTGTCGACCTTTCAAATTGCAGTGCCCGAGCACTTTGTACATCAGCAGATATTCGATTCCACTGAATTGCGACATATGTAGAGCATTTGTTTAAGATCTAGTACTCAGTAAGCTTACCTAACTGTGAGTTGTAAGATCCTTTCGTGTAACGACCGGTGAGATTATTTGTTAGTCTTCCAGATGATATGAAAAATCGGCAGCGCACTAGAGCATAAAAGTTGAGACACATGCTCCGTACTAAGCGGCAGTCCAGGATGCAACCACACTACACCAACGGCTGTTTGTCCCATTGTAACATACCCGCGGGGCTTGACACACATTTGTTGACCAATAAATGTCCGAATTGCGCACACCAGTTTCGCACTTGCTTACGAACGAACTAGCTCGACGAACTCCCTCTGTCAGTTTCTTACCGTTACGTCACTATTGATTCAACACTCAGTCATGTGCAGTACTTGTATACGATTTACGACAAGGCCTGCGGCTTAGCGAGATTCGAAGAATATGATCCAACCAACATAGACTATGTACATTCAGTTGACGGTCAACTGAGGCACCAGGTAGACTTGACAAGCTGATATCTGCATTACGCTGAGCGCTGCCACGAAATACGATCAACGCTTCCAATTATCCTCGAATCGTATTCGATTAGCCTCCTTACTTCATTGACTCACAGCGGTCATCCCTGCTTCATCCACTGAAGCTGGATGGACTGTAGCTTAGTATAAGTTGCGATTTTGAAAGTCACATAGGTTTCTTCGAACACTTGGCTATCTGAAGGAGTGCAACTACTAGTGGGCGCGATTTGCAATATCCCTTCGAGTGGATGTTCGGGAGTTGGCGAATTGGCTGGGTTTAGGTCCAATTATCCATTTGCGCCCTTCAATTTGTAGGTGTGAATAGCATTTCATTGTGTGCATTGGTTTGCGTATATCTTTTGGGAAAACGTTGCAAAGGAACAGAGTGTTGATTTTCGTACATTCCCCAGTGTGTTATTTCAGCAACCTAAAGCAGTAAGCCATTGACCTCCGAGTAGCGTTCAGTTTAGCCAGTGCGGTCTGTTATCCACTCATTTGCTTCGTACGACACGCATAGCCTCTTCAAACTACACACACGGCTGCTGCATTTTAGTAGACGGTTAAACAACAGAGACGTACCTACAGTCTACAATTTTATGTAATAATCTGGATGGGGAATTGCGGAGGTACAATGTACACCATTGTAGAAACAAAATAGTAGGGTTTGTTTTAGCCTTATCTCTATCCATTGGCGTGTGAGGCATGAGCGACTTTGAGGCACTCAGAAGCTCTTAGCTAGCACAGTCTAGTTGCTCGGGGATTTAGAGCAACCAAAATGGCAGTGTTTCGGTAGTGCTCTCTCTCTCTTTCTCCACTTCGGATACGGTCCCAGTGATCAGAATGGCAGAAGCTGACTTCAAAGTCACACGCGGTCACCATGGAGATTGCGTGTCACAATCCACGACACACGCTGGGTACTACAAAAACCCGATATACAATCAAGATGGCACTTTCATCGTAATTCGCTCAAACTGCATGTGAGTGGTCTTACGCTCGTTTACATCGATCAGCTCGCTTTTCGTTCCAGAAACGCACCAACTCCGTCGTTTGATTTCGTTTCTTTGCCTGTTTTTGGGCCGCCGAACCGCAGTCACAAACCCATCGCCAATCTTTTTTATGCTTGAATGTGAGCTTTTTGCTGTTTATTGACGTGGTTAGTTTCAATCTGTCACTAGGTGAATGCATTTCTCCAGTTTGGGTTGTTACGAAATCGTTCCTCTTCGACGACGACTGCACAAGGAGCTTGTGTCTGCAGCATTCCTTACGCTTAGGGGGCATCCTCATCTCACAGTGTTGACCAGTGTGTTACTATTTTTGCCCTTGCGAGTCACTTCATCCAGATAGTTTACTCTTTTGCTTTATACTGCTTGGCCTTGGAGTTATCAACCAAGCCATTTTTGGGATGCCGCAATCCGCGGTTGTTTCTTGTTACTTCTTAGCCCCCATTCCTGATTTGTCCTTCCGAAGTGAGTTGACTCCACTTTTTAGTTTGACACTGGTGCCTCTGTCTGCTCCGTTGCATGTATGTGTGAATACAAGTTTCAACCGATATGTTGCTTTCATTCCTCGGCCTGGCTCTCCGTGCGGTGCTTCAGTGTCACCACGTGGTGCATTTGCGCTTAATCCCTTGGTTGGTGCGATTTTTTTATCCTCTATTGTTCTTTTCCCAAATCTTACGTTGCATGCTCTTGTCATACGTGGTGCTCTCGATTCGCCTACTTTCCTTAATTGTTCGCTGTGTTGACCACCTTTGTTCTTTTCCTTGATGGATAGATTTAGCCATGCATTATGTCGGCACTGCGACCTGTTGTTTTGTTAATCGTAATGGCGTGACATTTGCGTTTCTGTTTTTCCCTCCTTTGACGGGGAAATGTTCAAAAATGTTGCCCCAGTGCTTCACTACTCTTTCTCTGGTATTCATGAAAGCCTATGAAATTTTGTCTACTCATTTCTATAAAAGTTATTTGGGACCCTCCTCTTTGTATCCACGATGGCGAA